TCAGTGAGGCTGGAGAGAGACCATATAACCAGGGGAGCTAGGCAAGGTAGGACTAAGCAAGCTCTTCAAATCAAGAGATTAATACCTATGACGGTTTTGAATCCCCCAAGAGTCGAAACCCATTCTCCAAATAACTCCCTAGGGTTCCAGTATTTCCAGGCCTGGACTGGGACATGAGCAACGTATCTCATTAGATCTGTGATCTCCTCTATGACTTTTGTTTCATCATCTATCTGCAGGCAGCAGTTGCTGAGGTTAAACTTTCTACAAACTCCTCCCTTGAAAGCAAACAAGTAATCTAAGGCCGAGCAATTTTGATAGATAGCATTGTGCATTTTGGTTTGCTACTTGGCTAGTAAGTTAAGAGCTCTGGCAGTTTCTTTGGTTATAATTTCTATAACTGCTTGCAGTCTGATTATGTGGTTTAGCATGTAAATGGGAGTGTGGTAGCCCCAGGACCCATCCTCTGCCCAGGAGACAGGGCAGTACTATTGGATTATATGCTTGGGAGGCCATTCATCATCTTTCCAATTGCCAATTTGTAGGGCACATCCCTCCCTTTGAGTCTTCTTGTCTGCATACAATTGGACTCCCAAATGTTCCCTTCTGACAAGTGGGAGCAGGAAGAGAGATGGATGAATAGTTCCAGCACACGTGACCCTGACCAGCCTGAGGGAAGTACTATATAGCCTGTCTTTCCACATATCTAGTATAGTCCACCTGGAGCCCGCCATTCAACTGTTGCATCGAGATTGTCCCAGGCCTCTTGGAGGTGAGAGAAGTTAGACAAGGGGTGGAGATCTGGCTCAAGGTGATCTGGGGATCACCACCACTGGGATCTGGGTGGTTGAGTTATAAAATCTTTGGCCTAGGCACATTAAGCTTCCAAAAGAGATGGTGAACTTTGTTCTGCACCAGGCAAGGCAATTTTTTCCCATAATTGAGGTTTTGAGGAGCCAAACCCTGATAGTAGGGTTTGGGTATTCTGTTCCATTATAAGGTTCACAGAGATCTAATACTCTAGCCTCTGATGGCCATTGATTCCCCATGTTGGTTCCCCCACATACATAACAAGAAGAGATCTTTAGAGTCTGGGCTATAGTCTCTGCTAGGGCTAGAAACAGATTTTTCATCATGATGGAGACAGGAGGAGGACCCTTCTCCATTTCTTCATAAAAGGAATGAAAGACCTGGTGGATTGTGTGGCCTTATGTGTGGCAATAACTCTCAAAATACAACACGGGTCTGTGCCCTGCCCATAGATAAGTATACCAATCTGGTAGTTCTTTTTCCATTTTGAGACTCCTGGGTCAAGGATGGTAAAATTAATGGGGTTACAGGTTCCCAATTGGCAATTTGACTCAGCCATACCCTTTTGGAGGGGTGCTGTTTGTCTTTACTCTGCCAAATGGCCCATGTGACACTGCTTCAATAAGGACAGAAGAATTCAGGTGCCTGTAGCTAGGAACCACACATACCAGACTCCTCACACATATTTATCATTGAGTTGGTACTGTCATTCCCATGTCAGACCTTCACATGGCAAACCATACAGCAATGTGTCACTTATGGCTGTACATACATCAAAGAATATAGACACCAGCCACGTTGGATTGGTATTTGAGTTTTGTTAATTCGTTGGCCCACATTGGCGTTGCCTATCTTGGGGTGACTCTGGGCCTCTAGCCATTCCTCTGTTGGGGAGTACTATGGGTTGAAACAAGTGTATTGACTCTCCCATTACCAAATAGAATAGGTGGTCTTATTGTGTATGCAGGTCCTCAGAATCGTTTCCTGGCATGAGAAGTGCGTATGGGATAGTAAGGTCCAAGTGACTCCCTGGCCTGACCTGGTTATGTGCATACATGAGTCCCAGGATGGGGAATATAGGTCTACAGAAGGGATCCAGATTAGAAGCAACCAATACCAATGAAGCATCCTATCCACAAAAGGAATGTGAGTGCTAACAGAAACCTCTCACCACACTCCCAGCTGTCCGGTGTGGCTTCTGTAATCCTATGGCAAAAAGTAGAGGAAGAATCACAATAACAGCAAGAAACAGGAGTGACAGTGCCTCACATTAAGGAAACATACAGAAAATAAGGACAGTCTATTTGCTCCCCCAGACTGTTGATTCCTCAAGCTTCTGCTGTGTGTAGATTAGTCAGCTTCCAGAGTGACTAAAGCAGGGCTACAGTCTCCCAGAGCCTCTGGAGTTGTAGATTGCTTCTTCCATATGGTCAGCTTGCATGGCGTCAGTGGATCAGGAATGTACTCCCAGTTTCGAGATGCTGGCTTCACTCGGCTGTGGTGAATCCAGGGACCCACTTCAGCTACCTTTACTGCAGTAGGGGTGGGCAAAATGAGTGAATGGGCCCCTCCAGAAGGGTTTTAGGGGTTGGACATTCTACTCCTTCACCCATACAGCATCTCATGGTTTAAAGGGGTGAGTGTCTATGGTCAGACTCACAAGTAAGCGCTCCCTAACCCAGTGGTATAAGGTGGTTAGGGTAGGGCCAAGGAAGGGCCCGCATCTGTTGCCTTAGGGTTAAATTGCCTGTCTCATTTAGATCCCCCCTTATGCCCTTGATAATGGTGGGAAGGGTGCCCATAAAGGATTTCATAAGGGGACCCTGTCTTAGTGGGGCTACACCTGATTCTTAACAAGGCGATTGGCAATACCTTGTCCCAGTATAGGTGGGTTTCCTGACATAATTTACTTAGTTGAAGCTTCAGGGTTCTGTTTATTCGTTCCACCTTCCTGGAGCTCTGAGGTCAGTATGCTGTGTGTAACTGCCAGGTGATCTTTAACCTCTTTGCCACCAGCAGCACCATCTCAACCGAGAAAACTAGCCCATTAACTGATCCCATAGTGATAGGGATTCCAAATTGAGGATGATTTCTTTTAGAAGACAGGCCACTTCATGTGTCTTTTCTGTGTGAGTAGGGAAGGCTTCCACCCAGCATGAGAAAGTGCACATAAAGACCAACAGGTATTACAGCCTCAAACCCAGGGAAGGTCAGTGAAGTCCACCATCATATTTTCAAATGGGACTCCCATGACACTCTGCATCCCAGGGGCAGCCTTGAGTCCCTGATATGGGTTATTCCAGATTCACATTTCACATCGCTACCATACTGCTCGGGCTATACTAGAGAGTCGAGGGATGTAGAAATGTTGACTCAACGTAGTCCCTAGAGCTGTCTGGACAATATAAAACTGATGAAACTGCTTGACAAAAAGCTGGAGCCAGGCCTCAGGAATTGCTACCCGCCTATCTTCAAATTTACGCTATTCACCTGGGAGGTAGCTTCTATTTTCTTTTTTTTTTTTTTTAAATTTTTTTTTTCAACGTTTATTTATTTTTGGGACAGAGAGAGACAGAGCATGAACGGGGGAGGGGCAGAGAGAGAGGAAGACACAGAATCGGAAACAGGCTCCAGGCTCTGAGCCATCAGCCCAGAGCCTGACGCGGGGCTCGAACTCACGGACCGTGAGATCGTGACCTGGCTGAAGTCGGACGCCTAACCGACTGCGCCACCCAGGTGCCCCGGTAGCTTCTATTTTCATTCTTAAACCAGGTACTCTCATGTTGTGAGTAATTAAGGTCCTATTCTGCTAGTGGACTATGGAACGGTGTGGCAGTTAAAGCCACTGATTCCACTGTTCCTTTGGAAGCCACAAGCTTTGCCTCTCTGTCTGCCTTATGGTTTCCTCATGAAGCCGTGGTCTACCCTTTGATGTCCCTGACAATACATGACTGCCACTCTTCTACGGGCCCACACAACGTATAAGAGTTCGAGGATTTCCTTACCATACTGTATGTCTTTTCCTCCTTAGTTTATTAGACCCTTCTCTTTATATAAAGCCCCATGTACGTGGAGGGTGGTGAAGACATACTTAGAGTCTGTGTATATATTAACACATATCCATGCTGCCAGTTGGAGGGCTTGGGTTAGCGTGATGAGCTCTGCCTTCTATGCCAAAGTCCCCTTTGGCAGGAGTTTGGCCTCAGTGATAGAATTCAGGGTCACCACGGAGTACCTTGCAAGGCATTCTCCCTCTTTCACAAAACTGCTACCGTTGGTGAAATACTCAGCATCGGGGTCCTTGAGGGGCTGGTCCCTCAAGTCTCATCAGCTGGAGAACACCTCATCCATGATTTCAATGCAGCCTTGATCTGGTTGACTTGGTCCAACTGGCAGTAGGGTTGCAGGGTTTAGAGTCCACACTACTTCTAGGTGAATATGTGGGTTCTCACATAGCATTTCCTAATATCTGATCATCCAGGCATTGGTTAGCCAATATTGTCCTTTGTACTCCATTAATGTCAATACTGAATGTGCCGCTCAGACTGTCAATTTTTGCCCCATACTTACCTTGTCAGCCTCAGACACTAAGAGGCCCATGGCTGCAAATGCCCATAGGCAGGGTCACCAGCCTTGGGAGACAGAGAAATATGCCACTGGGCAGTGCTATGACCCCAACATCTGGGTTAGAACTCCCACCGTGATGCCAGTATATTCATGAACGTACAAGAAGAAGGACTTGGACATGTCTGGGAGCCCCAGACCAGGTGCATTGGCAAGGGCCCATTAGATCCCTTCAAAGGCCCTTTGCTGTACTTGCTCCCATAACACATTCCTGCTCTCCCCACTTGTGGCCTCATAAAGGGGTTTTGCCAAGACTGAGAAGTTAGGTATCCAGATTCTACAGAAACTTGTGGCCCTGAGAAAGTCCCAAAACTGATGTCAAGTCAATGGGACCCAGATCGAACAAACGGCCTGTTTTCTCTCTGGGCCAAGTTGGTACTGCACCTGGAAGAGGTGAAAGCCAAGGTACTTGACTTCCTTTTGACACATTTGGGCCTTCTTCCTTGAGACCTTATAGCCAGTTTCCCATAGGAGGGTAAGGAGCTACCGAGTGCCTTCCATGGAGTCCTCCTGAGACCTTCCAGCCAGCAGTACGTCATCTAATACCGCAACAGGACACAGCCATGTTAATCCACTGGGAAGGCTTTTAGGTCTGAAGCTAATGAAGTGCTGAAAATAGTTGGGGAGTTCTTGAACCTCTGAGGAAATCTGGTCCAAGTCAACTGGCCCTTGTCACCATTTTCAGGATTCTCCCACTGGAAGGTGAAGATTGGTTGACTCTGGTCGGACAGACGGATGCCGAAGAAAGCATCCTTGAGTTCTAGGCACGTGAAGAAGACAGCTTCAGCGGGGATAAGACCCAGGAGAGTGTATGGGTTTGGGACAACTGGGTGCAGGGTGACAGCAGCCTGGTTTACTGGGTGAAGGTCTTGGGCCAGCAGATAGTTATTGGTGCCCAGCTTCTGGACTGGTAGAAGAGGTGTGTTCTAAGATGACTGAGGGCTGGAGGATCCCATATTTTAGAAGTCTCTCCAGGTGCTTCTGTATCCCCACCTGTGCCTTACAAGGGATGAAATATTGGTTTTGGCAGATGGGCTCTGCCCTGGCTTTAGTTCTATGATTACTGGAGGTATCTTCTGGGCCAGTCCTGGTGGGTTGTCCTCCGCTCACACCCCCAGTACTCTGAAAGCAACTCAGGTCCCTATTGTGGTTCCTCCATGAGACTGTACATTCCCCTTAGGGAATCGGGAGAGTCATAATCTTTTCTTCCAGCTTTCGTAGGGCCAGAGCAGCTTGTCTGTGGGAGTTGAAAGTTATCTGGGCCTGCAGCTTTCCCAAGTGGTCCTGACCCACTAAGGCCACAGGGCAGTTGGGGAGGTACAGGAGTTCCTGGATGACTTCATGGCCACCTAAATTGCATTACTGAGGCAGAAGGAAGGGATGGCATGTCTGATTGCCCATGGCCCCCACAATGGTGGCTTGTCTCTGTGAGAGGGAGCCCATGGGTTGGGTCACCATTGAGTGTTTTGTCCCAGTATCTACCATGAAGTCTATGGGTCAGCCCCCACGTTTGTTTGGACCATAGGCTCTTGGGGGCCTAACAAAATAGAACCCGGTCTGTCCTAGTCCTCCTCATAGTCCTGTATGGTAGCTGTCCCCACAAAATCATCTTTGGGAGCCCCATGAGGCTGTGATGCTGGTTGATACCAGCCCTAGACCACATGACCTCTTTCTTTTTGCTTGGGGCCCTGCTGACAATTACCCAGCTACAGGGAGCACTCATTTTCCAGTGGCCCTCCTTACAACAGTGAGCATACTAGTTCAGTCCTAACTTTGGTGCTGGGCGAGATCATCCTCCCCACTGTTCCCCTTTTTGGCCCCAGCCTTGTCCCTGCAGGGCACTTTTCCAAGAGCATTCCTACCACTCCACCAAGGCATCAGGTAACAAGTATGCCTTTTTCTGCACCTTCCAGCCTTCTTCCCTTCGCACTGCCTGGTCACAGTTGACAAACACCTTAGTTGCTACTTTCAGCACCTGACTGGTGTTATGCCCAGAATTTGTGATCCCCAAATACCACCAGGGAGCCGAGTCCAATGTAAAAGCAAAAGAGCCTTTATTCGAGCTAGCTCGAGCTCAATCCCCTACCTGCACCAACGCAGCAGTGAGATACCGGGGAGAGAGAGTGAGTTTCAAAAGGACAAAGGTTTTATTGGGGCCTAGGGGCAGTTGGTGAGGTAATGGCTGTGGCCTCAGCCGATTGGCTGGGGAAGGGTCCGAGTCCTGTTAGGCAGGTGAGCGGGAGGTTATTCAAGGGGAGGAGGCGTGGTCAAGGTGAAGGACACAGAACAAGATGGAGTTGGCC